GCCCAGTCTCAAACAAACCAACCAATAAACAAAAACTCCCAATTTGAAGCGTGGGCAACTAAGGAAAGTGAATGTCTTAGGCTCTGGCTGGCTGGATGTCCCTGGACTGTGTCCTACACTCCTGTCCTCTTGTGATGGCTCCTCTTCCCAGGGACCAGGTGCTGCCAGCATCCCCTGCCACTCCAGCCTCCCCCCAGCCCTTGTGGCAGGCAGGGAGGGGACAACTCTTCAGGCTGCTCCCAATCCCTTAATCGGATTTGCTCCAGTGACCCTTCCAATTAAAACTCCCCGATGTAATCCCCCTCTCCCCCCTTAAAACCCAGGAAGCGGAAGGACCATAAAAGGAGTCCCTTCTTGTGCCCTTGAGCACTTCCCGGGGAGCCCCACGGCCGGAGACCACATCCCAGCTCCACCAAGAGAACATACGTCTCCACCAAGAGAACATACGTCAAATGTTAGCAGACGATCATGTAAAAGCATTATGATTATTGCAAAGCAAGCGTCAATAAAAATGGATAAGGAGTCATTTTTTGCCAAGAATGCCCCATTGCTTTTAGTCCCCGTGACCTCAGGAGTGTCACAGGAGGGAAGCAGGTCCTTTGGTTGTTTTCTCAGACAGGGTCACTGGTATCCCCAGCTCCTGACTCAGAGCCAGGCAGAGTGGGTGGGTGCACAATGCTGAGGGCAGTGAGAGTCAAAGCCAGGGACACCATGAAGGAGTCGGGTCCCATGCTCCTTGGCTGAATCAGGTGTCTCTGCCTCAACCTCCCTTTCCCACCGATGGGATCAGCAATGAGTTCATCGAGGACGGGTAGAGGTGGAGGAGCCAGAACTCCATTTGCAAGTGGCAACTCCTTAGCTAGCAGCTGCGTTCACAGCCACCTGTGACCCCCACTCCCAGGAGGCCAAGGCAGGAGGATCCTGAGTCTCTGTCCCATAACGAGACCCTGTCTGTGACACTCCTGGGGTCATGGGGACTAAACCCAATGGGATGCCCTCGGCAGAAAACAACTCCTTATCTTTATCGACACTTGCTTTGCAAACTACACACTTCTTGTGTACAAGTCAAGGATTGCTTTCAATGTTTTTAACTATTGTGTGTTAACATTTCCACATGTGCTCGCTTTAAATTCTGACCACTCTCGTGTCCCGCCTCTCTCTCATCCCCCTCCCACTCCACAAATACCTCCAGTAATAAATAGTTTGTAACTATTTATTTTGTTTTGTGAGCACTGAGATTAAACAAGGCGGTCTGTGTGAGTGTGGCCTTGGAGCCGCTGCTTGCTGCTGGCTGGGTCAGCATCAGGCACACAACCATGGTTCCTCCTCTCCCAGGACCTGTAATAACCAGTAGTTCAGAGGAAAACGTTGGGACCTCGTGAGTCCTGTCCACTTCTCGACTGGTTCTTAGGGCTGGTCTTGTGTGGGGCCAGGGCAGGTAACTGCTGGTGATGTGAGGCCGTGGTTATAATGCTATATTGAGTCTAACAGACAGGTGGAGGTGGCGCCCACACCTTTAATCCCAGATTCGGAGGCAGAGGCAGCCTCGGATATCTGTGAGTTCAATACCAGCCTGGTCTACAGAGCAAGTTCCAGGACAGCCAGGGCTACACAGTGAAACCTGTTTTGGAAAAAGAGATAGTGGAAAAGAGCGAGGTCTCTCTCTCTCACCTCGTACCTCTGTCGTGGTGTTTCCTGAGCCCCTTGAGGGCACAGCACAAAGAGCTTACTCGGGGCTATTCCGATACCTGAATGGATCATCGTTGGTTTGTCCGATTGTGGCTTGGTGGAATTGTGGTTGTTGCCCCTCTGCAACCCTTAGGAACAACAGTTATTACAGACACATAGGAGTAACTGGTAAGCCCCCAATGCCCTAAGTAATTTGCCAAGGATCCTTACGTCTCTGTTGACCACGGTGGGCCGAGTGACCGTGGGTGCAGCCTCTCCTTTCTCTGCTGAGGTCTATGCTACGTGGACACTTGATACCTTGTCCTCCATATTGGAAGGACAGAGAAAGGGCAGGGAGGTGGCATCAACTGTGGGAACTGTCCCTGGGCCAGAGCAGTTGAAGAAGACTCGATCCAGGCTGGGCGGTGGTGGCGCACACCTTTAATCCCAGCAATTGGGAGGCAGAGGCAGGTGGATTTCTGAGTTCGAGGCCAGCCTGGTCTACAGAGTGACTTCCAGGACAGCCCGGGCTATACAGAGAAACCCTGTCTTGAAAAACCAAAAGAAAAAAAAAAAAAGACCCAATCCAGACAGCCCTGCATTCCGCTCATATCCCTCTCCTGTCTGGCATACTCAGGACACCCCTGGGAACTCCTCATGGGAAGAGAATGTGGGCACTGGTCCCCTCAGGCTGGCTCCTGCCTCTGAGTCTGGAGCCTGGAGTCCCGCTCTGACCCAATGAGGCTCTAATCCCAGGAAAGCAGGGACTTTTCTAGGCCTGACCCAGGGCCAGGAGGACCTTGTATGGTGACTTAGCCATCCATGCCAGGACCTGTACACATGGCCTAAGGTTCATATGAAGCTTCCAGGGTGTTGGTAATAGATTACCTGGATAAGGACCTAATGACAGATGGGCTTAGTGACCATCATAGGCAACTGCTCAGTCACTTCCACCTCATTCAACATTTAAAGCATTGAAGGCTCAAAGAGGGAAAGTAGCTTGCTTGACCAAGGCCACACAGCCAAAGAATAAAACCACTAAGAATGGAGTCCAAGTCCCCAACCAGCTTATACACAAAGGAGCTGAAGAGAAACAGAAGAAGTGAGTTAGGGGCAAGTGTACCACACTGACTGAAGAGGCCTTCAGTTTACCTCAGTCTTGCAGTGATGGCCAGCCTACCAAGGTAGGAAACTGAGGCACAGAGGGCTTAACGAACATTTGGAAGTTCCCCAGGCAGGAAGAGTGGTCCTGACTCCAAGAGCTTTGGTGGTCTAGAAGAAACAAACCTTGTCAGTGAGATTAGGGTTGTTTCTGAGCTGCCTGGACAGTGGGGGCCCACAGGGAGGAGCTGATACCTTGGGCTCTCCCCTCCCACCATGGCAGCACACACACACACACACACACACACACACACACACACACACGAGTGACTCCCCCCAGCCCCCAGGACTGGGACTCAGAGGGCCTGTCTCTGGATGCACAGAGATTACAGCCTTGGAGTAACAAGCCATGGGGTTGCCAATAGCCAGGTCTATAAGTCACTACTGTCAAAGACCATTCACTCTGTGGGTGTGTGATAGCCGGGACTATAACTCATTTCTTGTCACAGACTATTCACTATGCGGGACTGACCAGAGTTGTCTGGGGTTAGAAATAGGAGCAGGTGCCAGCTGCACCCTGCCAGCCTCTGAGGAAACAGAATCTCCCAGCTCTTAAAGGGGCAGACACCCCCAAGATCCATTCCTGTTGGAATCAGAGATGGGAGCAGGTGCCAACAGGATTCAGCCTAAGGCCTGTGCCTGTACCACCCAAGCTCTGTGTGCCAGCCTGTGCTAATGTGCCCAACCTGTGCTAAAGGCAACATAGGTCCCTGCTCTAGAACTTGTAAGAGGCTACCACGTGCCTGCCCCAGAGTTTCATTAGCCTGGATAATGCTCTGTTTCTAGGGGCCAGCTTGTGCATTACAGGATGCTGGGTGATACCCCCGTCCTCTGCCTATCTGATGCCTGTTGCACTCCTTCTGTGGCCTGCAGCTGTGCAACCAAATACTTCCAGGAAATTGCTAAGATCCACCCTAGGAAGTAGCCTTGTTGTACAGACAAGGAAGAGGCCAGCCCTCAAGGCCAAGGGTAGCAAAGCCAGGCCCAGCTACTCAGAGAGAGTGACAGCAAAGTTTATCTTCCTATTAATGCATCTGTCACTAGGCAGGGAAAACGGGTAGGTTTATGTGTCATTTTGTAGACTGTGGCTGAAATAAAGGTGAGTGAATTATTTTGCAGAGTAGTGTAGGTAACAGGAACATGCACGGTTTGGTGTTGGGCTGACAGAAACAGGCTTTGTTTGGGAGTTTTCATGTGCTGCACAAACAGCTTCAGAAAAGCCAGCTAATGGGAGGAGGCTGGCACAGCTGGCACAGCTGTCTGCGGGCCGACGTTCAAGTTCACAGCACAGCAAGCGGAAGGCCAGGATGAGCCCTCACTCCTGGCGTGGCCAGCCGCGGGCACTCGGCTAGCTGAATTTGATGGTGCCAGAGCAGGGTACACAGAAAGGCTAAGAATCACTCCTATTGGACGGCACATATAGATTCTGGGCAGCAATGGGCACATCTGCACGTGTGCGTGCACTCACTCGCACACACGTGCGCACACATGTGTACACACACACACAACTGGAATGAGATGTTAGTACCCCCACGGCACAGCAGTACAGTGAAGGGACCTGAAGATGGAGTGGCCCTTGTATCCAGGGAAAGCAAGGATGATGTCAGAGGACAACTTACAGAGTCAGTCCTCTCCGCCCACCTTTATGTGGGAGTCAGGGACTGAACTCGGGTCTCCAGGCTTGCGTGACAGCACCTTTCCCCACTGAGCCTTCCCACCAGAACTCAGCCTTGGTCATCAGCCCTGCACCCCAGAACTACGCCCAGCCACATTTGGCCCCCCTGACGTTTTTATAAATATCATTTTACTGAGAGGCAGCCACAGCCATTCCTTCTTATTTCGTCCAGGCTGCTGCTGCAGAGCTGCACGGCTGTAACAAGACTCGCCAGGCAACCCTTTTATTCCCTGTGCTTCTGTCGAGAAGGTCTGCTTGCCCGACAAGCTTGACATTGTCTTCATTTTCTAGCTTCAGTTTTCACATCTATGTCATAAACAGGTTTGCAGACGTTACCTTTTGTCACTTGGTCAGCCATGAAGTCTCTGGTGAGAGAGACAGGAGATGGCTACGAGGACCGTGTCTGAGGGCTGTGCCGAGCTGGGTGCTGACCATGTCCTCTCTGTGTAAGGGTCGTGCTGTGCTGGGTGCTGACCATGCTCTCTTCTCCCCTCAGATCCTGGCCATCATCTCCATCATGTTCATCGTCCTCTCCACCATCGCCCTGTCCCTCAACACGCTGCCTGAGCTGCAGAGCCTGGACGAATTCGGCCAGAGCACTGACAACCCGCAGCTGGCACACGTGGAGGCGGTGTGCATCGCGTGGTTCACCATGGAGTATCTGCTGAGGTTCCTGTCCTCGCCCAAGAAATGGAAGTTCTTTAAGGGCCCCCTCAATGCCATTGACTTACTGGCCATCCTGCCCTACTATGTCACCATCTTCCTCACGGAATCCAACAAGAGCGTGCTGCAGTTTCAGAATGTGCGCCGTGTGGTCCAGATCTTCCGCATCATGCGTATCCTCCGAATCTTGAAGCTGGCCCGACACTCCACCGGCCTGCAGTCCTTAGGCTTCACACTGCGCAGGAGCTACAACGAGCTGGGCTTGCTCATCCTCTTCCTCGCCATGGGTATCATGATCTTCTCCAGCCTGGTCTTCTTTGCAGAGAAGGATGAGGATGACACCAAGTTCAAAAGCATCCCCGCCTCTTTCTGGTGGGCTACCATCACCATGACGACCGTTGGTTATGGAGACATCTACCCTAAGACTCTCCTGGGGAAAATCGTGGGGGGCCTCTGTTGCATCGCCGGGGTCCTGGTGATTGCCCTCCCCATCCCCATTATTGTCAACAACTTCTCCGAGTTCTACAAGGAGCAGAAGCGCCAGGAGAAAGCCATCAAGCGGAGAGAGGCTCTGGAGAGGGCCAAGAGGAACGGCAGCATCGTGTCCATGAACATGAAGGATGCCTTCGCCCGGAGCATCGAGATGATGGACATCGTGGTCGAGAAAAATGGAGAGAATGTGGCTAAGAAGGACAAAGTGCAGGACAACCACCTGTCTCCCAACAAGTGGAAATGGACCAAGAGGGCACTTTCTGAGACCAGCTCCAGTAAATCCTTCGAAACCAAGGAGCAGGGATCCCCCGAGAAGGCCAGGTCCTCGTCTAGTCCACAGCACCTGAACGTCCAGCAGTTGCAAGACATGTACAGTAAGATGGCCAAGACCCAGTCTCAGCCCATCCTCAATACCAAGGAGATGGCACCACAGAGCAAGCCGCAGGAAGAACTGGAGATGGGCAGCATGCCCAGCCCCGTGGCTCCCCTGCCCACCCGCACAGAGGGTGTCATCGACATGCGGAGTATGTCCAGCATTGACAGTTTCATCAGCTGCGCCACAGACTTCCCTGAAGCCACCAGATTCTCCCACAGTCCTCTGGCATCCCTCTCCAGCAAGGCTGGGGGCAGCACAGCCCCAGAGGTGGGCTGGCGGGGGGCTCTGGGTGCCAGCGGCGGGAGACTCATGGAGACCAACCCCATCCCTGAGGCCAGCCGCTCTGGTTTCTTCGTTGAGAGCCCCAGGAGTTCCATGAAGACCAACAACCCCATGAAGCTGCGAGCCCTCAAGGTCAACTTCATGGAGGGTGACCCCACCCCGCTGCTGCCCTCTCTGGGCTTGTATCACGATCCTCTTAGGAACAGAGGAGGCGCGGCAGCCGCAGTCGCAGGACTGGAGTGTGCCTCCCTCTTAGATAAGCCTGTCCTGAGCCCGGAGTCTTCCATCTACACCACAGCAAGTGCCAGGACGCCCCCTCGCTCCCCGGAGAAACACACAGCAATAGCATTCAACTTCGAGGCGGGGGTCCACCAGTACATAGACACTGACACAGATGACGAGGGTCAATTGCTCTACAGCGTGGACTCCAGTCCTCCCAAGAGTCTCCACGGGAGTACCAGCCCCAAGTTGAGCATTGGCGCTAGAACAGAGAAGAACCACTTTGAGAGTTCCCCCTTACCAACCTCCCCTAAGTTCTTAAGGCCGAACTGTGTCTACTCCTCAGAAGGGTTGACTGGAAAAGGCCCTGGGGCTCAAGAGAAATGCAAGCTGGAGAACCACACCTCCCCCGACGTGCACATGCTGCCTGGGGGAGGAGCACATGGGAGTACTCGGGATCAGAGTATCTGAGCTCCCTACCACAGAGGGCATTTGCAGGAGAAAACGAGGAAGAGGGATGCTTGGCTTGCCTGCCGCTGAGTTCTGCGTGAACTCGGAGACCCAAGCCCCCCCCCCCCTACAGAGCCCCAGCGACAGGAGAGACCCCGAGAGCCATGACAAGTCTGTGGACAGCAACAAGTCACAGGGACCACACCTAACAGCATCTTCCTGAGATGGCAAGAGCAGAGCTGACAGCCACCACTAAGACCTAGCCCAGGCCACACACTTCCTCGTCTCCTCTAGATGCTCTCTCAGCCTCTGAGGGCGCCATCAGCATCTCTCATGGCTTCAGCTGAGGCGGGTGTTGGAGCAAGGGGCTGCTAGTGAAAGAGTGGACTGACCAAGCAGTATTGGGTGTCACCCCTCCTGTTAGAAGGGTACAGAGGACACTTGATCATGGGGAAGTCTCCCCTACATCAGCCACACTCCTAGGGCATAAACGCTTAAACAAGCAAGCGGCTCGAATGATTCAGTATTCTGTGGTACCTGGGGCTTTTTCCTGAGACGCTGTCAGGGTGAGCTGACAATTTAGACTCAACTCTTTTCTGCCCACCTGGCATTCCAGGAAGGAAGGGTTCCTACGGCTGGCACTCAGCCCAGGGGATATAAGCCAGGGCTGTCACAGGAAAGTGGGTTCCAAACAGCGCCAGCCTGGACTGAAGACATACACAAGCATCAAACATGCAAACGAGATAGATTATTCAATGAAACTGTGTGTGACTGAAAAACAACATTAAAAAATAATAAATTTCATTTTCTACATGAAAAAAAAAAAAAGAAAAGGAAAAAAAAATCCTTCACTGAACTGCCCTGTGCAGAGTTGTGACTACTTTCGGCTGTGGTGGGGAACACACCTACTATGAGAGGAAGTTCTTTTTTTTTTCCTGTGGTATTCAAGCTAAAAAAAATAATAATAATAAGTTAATAAACAAAGCACTTTATGTTTTTCTAATCTAGGTTCTACCAGGGACAGTGTCAGGATCTCGCACTTTAAAACAAGCACTATTTCCAATGGGCCGCATGCAGGCCCTGCACTTGGGGTATTACTTGTGCCCATTTCTGACCACAGTGGGTCTACCGTTGCCACATCAGAGTCCGAGGCTTTTCCGTGACCCCTCAGGATCACCCCTCATCCCTCATGGGACAGGAGAGGTCCTCAGTTCTTGGGGGGCAGGGCTCTCTTAAAGTCCTGCGTACAGGAGACTCAGAAGGGCGCGGCAAGAGTTGGGTGTCGGGTGTTGTACCGCTCTTTCCTGTCAACGGGCCATTGTGTGTTCTGTGTTACTGTCTGTCCCGAAAGCCCGACGCTCCCTCCCGCAGCCATCTGGCAGACGGCACAGCCAAAAGCAATAAGTACCCATGTGTATCCCTTGAGGTTCCCGTGTACTTCCTGGTGTCAGTCTTCCTGTCCCGCCTGCCTGTGACCCCGTGGCACAGTATTGTTGGCCCTTCCTCAATGACACCAATCTGCCCAATGCTCTAGTTACGGCAATGCCGTTGGTCAGCCTGTCTGTGGTACAATGGGGCAATGTAGTTTTCTTACTATAGTGTAAGTGTGTCCCAAATACTGTAGTGTCCTCCTCCCTGTCCTCAGAACAGTGACGGGCATGTCTTCCTGACAAAGCAATGACAACAATGGTCACCTGTCCTCAGTATCACATGTGGCTGGTCGGCCCAGTAGTTCGATGGCACGATACACCCGTCAGCACACGCACATCAAGATGTTTTGCCTTCTCTTGTTTCCATGTCTGAGGTCAGGCCCTGTCCCAGGTAGGATGCTAAAGGCTCATCCCACCACCCTTAAACAAAATGTTTTCTACAGTCCATGATGCTTCTTGGCATCTCCAAAGGCCTGGACCCCCTCTCCTTCCCTCCAGAGGGCGCAGCTTGGTATTTTGCTGTGTTAATGAAGAAAACGACTCTGCCTCACCATCCGTCCTCAGAGCTTTCTCAAAACAGAAGCAAAGGGGCTGAGACAGTGCGGGGGGGGGGGGGGGGGGCCACCGGCACCCGCAGCAACCTGAAGGCAGGAAGCAGGGGGGGGGCCTCCGCGGCTCCCTGCTGAGCTCAGCCTGGTGCTGGGGGCCTGCTGCGGTGACCGTGGGACTTTCTGCTGACCATCTTCCATGTCTGTCTTCTGTGTTACTCATCAGTCACCCATCAGCACAGATGTGAAAATTCAGGGAAACAAACAAATGCTTTTTGATAAAAAGTATATAGTTGTGATTTCCGATTCAGATATTTTTAGAGCTATCTGTAAAAAAAAAACCTCCTACTGATGATATAGTCTATTTTACATATCAGGAAGTAAACGCGTCTTAACATAGCCATATATAGCCAGAAGAAAGTTACCGCCCCCTTCTTTAAACCAAGGCATTTCATTGGTTGGTTGAGCCGATGGCGGGTGTACAGTGTAGAGATGATTGCTTTCTTTTTTAAGAACCACTTGGTGCGACTTTCCTTGTAACCAAAGGCCCCTTCTGCCTTGTGTAGGACCTGGCTGTCCCTCCCTCTTGTGTTTTGTCTGACCTTAAAGTAGCATTATACAGAAAAAAATGATGAATTCAGAATATCCTTCCTAGCTGCACAAAGTCCGACAGAATTCCTATAGAGACAACCATCAAAACAGTGTAAACGATGCGAAAGAGTTTTCCGTTTTGGTTTTTGTTGGCTTTTTCTTTCCTTCACTTATGTTTGTGTGTACTGTGAGAATATAGCTTCGCCCCTACGTGTAACTCAAGTTAGAACGCTAGAAATTTTCCTACCAATCCTCCACCTACTAAGAAGGAACACAGAGTCTCATGCCGTACACACCTGACCCGGGTACCTGTGTTTACATGCACTGGGAAACCTTGGGTTGCCAAGATGAGGCTGAATCCCATAGACGGGTCTCAGCAGTGAAGAGAAGAGTCGGGATATAGAGGCAGAGGCCACTTGAACTTGGTGGTCCACCTGACCTGACCCAACCAGAGCAAAAGAAAGTGAGGTACCCAAATAACAACAGGGACTGGAGGTGGAGATCTCAGTTATGAAATCAACAGGACTATCAGGAAGCCAGCTGAAGCCGAGTCCGAACACCCACCACATCATCAGAAAAGGCCAGGCGTCAGACCGCTGTGCGCGCCCTTCACTCCGGGAAAGCCTTACTGCGGACAAGGTGAGGACGAGCCAGTTCTTTTGCCTTTGCATTTTCGGATGCCTCCAAACCAGCAGGTCTCGGGTGACCTCTGGGATCTCTCTCTGGGATTCCACCTTAAGCACATTTAGATGAGAGAGAGAAAAAGGAGAGAGTACTTGTCAACGAGGAGAGAGGAAACACCAAAGTCAGGAGGAGGCCACCCTTAACCCGCTCTGCTCGCCCTGACAATTATACGAGCTTTTTTCCTACCGAGTCTCACCTTCTCTCCATCTCCTCTGTGTTCCGTAGCTGCAGCCTTGTCTCTGTCCCTTCTCCTGAGAAGATCCACATCTCTAAGGAGGAAACAAGACACAACAGCATCCTCTTCTATACAACTGTAATGTATTGTCAATATTTATAATTACGTATTTGTCTGACTCTGGTCATGGCTGGAATGTCTAGTTCATGAACAAAGGGATATTTAAAGTTCATCACAGACAAAGGTCCCTAAAGCCAGGTCTCTCTAGATAGATAGATAGGTATAAATATATGAATAGACCTCTCTTCCTTAGTTCTCTGCCAACTTTGTCTCAAGTAAAATAACCACAGGCTGCACTGAATCAGAGGGGAGAGCATACACAGAAAAGCTTCTAGAACATGCTCCTTGGAGACAGACTTTGTGTCTGTGTATCTGAGAGGTTGGCAGGAGGAAGATGGGGGCTCCAAGGTCCCCTAAAGGACAACAGAACACTCTAGCCTCGGGCATTTCCTAACCTATTATTGTTTATATGACAACCCCCAAATGCTTTCCTGTCACTGGGCCAGGGCCACCTAAACCAGCCCAGGCCACACCTGGAAATAAGACTTACCTCCGCATTTTCTGTTGCCATTTTTTCTGGCTCTAGAAGCATCTATATCCTAGGACGTCCACACATCTCAGAGTAGTCTATTTTTTTTGTTCAGATAAAATATATACATATATGTATTTTTTAGTATATTTATAATAGGGCAATTGAGTCTAATTTCTTTTGTAACAGAGTGATATCTTGGGGATTTTATTGTTCCTTTGCATACCTGGTCTTTTCTGCTCTTTGACATTCCTTCCCACAGTCCCTTGGGCTTATTTGTTTTGTTTCTGTTGGATTCCACTTGTCTGGAGATGGGAAAAGCCTGGAGTTTGATATCCTGGAAGATGGAGTTCCTGGCAGTGGGTGGATGATGGGGTCCAGGAGAGCAGCTGTGTCTTTCCTCATCAGGTCTATGTTCCCTGATTGTCACTCTTAAGAATCCAGGTGCGCAGGAGCAAGACAGGTGCAGTTGGGACCTGGGCTGCCGGGAGCTCATGCTCTTCCCTCCCCAAATCATAAAGGACTGGGCTTTCTGGTTCCCAGAAATATTAGAATCAAGACCCTCCTGCCAGCAAACTTGTCTCTGAGCTCAGGAACATTCCTGAGTCCCTCCTGGCCAGACTGTCCCCAAGTCCAGCATCCTGCTTCCCAGGGCCACCAACTGGATCCAAGGACGAGGGTGTGTGCAGAAGAGTGTGTTGCATCTCCATTCCATTTCTCACAATCTTACCAGAAACCAGTGTCCAGACAGCCTTATAGCCAAACGCTGAGGAGTAACAGCCCAAAGCTGTGATCTCCCCACCCAGGCCCTCTCAGCGGCACCAACATGAGACTTGAGGCAAAGATGGCAGTATTTTTCCAGCTTCTACTTTTCCAAGTCTCCATCCAGTCCTTGGTCAGTCCTGAACATCCATTGGAAACAACTTTGAGCCTAGGGACAGGTGGTGGACAGACTCCACATGGAGTGAAAGGGGTTGCCAACCCCCTCAGCTTACACAGGACAACAAGAAAAGCCAATCAGATTGCCTCCCATGTCCAGCCAGTTACCTACTTGCCTCAGCTCTGGACTCTGAGCTGTGCCAGCACCAGAGACTTAAATCAAGCCAGAACAGAGCCCCATCTCAGACAGTGATGCTATCCCCACTGAAAGAACCCCAAGAGGATAATACCCAAACTCAAATTTAATATTCTAATGATTGGACTTTCTTTCCTTCTCCTTGGGTTTGTTCTGTTTTGTGGTACTGGGGACCTAACTAGGGCCTTGGCTGTGTCAGATAAGCACTCACCCCTGAGCTACATCTCTAGCCCCTGAATGTATAATTTGGAATATGGTTCTAATCCATTTCTCCCATCCCTAAAATTCCTGGTAATCTGGTTTGTTCCAGAGCCAAATAAAATAGTCAAGAGTGTGTGTGTGTGTGTGTGTGTGTGTGTGTGTGTTATTGTGTGTGGTGTGCATGCACATGCAAACATGCACACATGTGCGTGTTTGTGTGCATATGTGTGTGTGCAACTTTTGCATAAGAACAAAATTAAAAATTACTGTCATGTTATTTCTGAGGTTTTCTGCCCAGATAAGTAAACACTGGCTGTCTTCCCGAGAAAAAGGGGGTACCCTCTGACCTTCTCTCCTTGTCCTAGAATTTCTCTCAAAATTTCCAAATGGTGACTTGAACTTAATTTAGAAGGGGCTGTTAGTCGTTTGAGCCGTCCTCTCTGTGTCTAGCCCTACCTCTGTCCCTCCCAGCCAAGGTCCTGAAGAAATCTAAAAGCCAACAGGAGAGCATGAGTGAGGAG